TGTGGTTATCTGCTACAAGTATGGCATACAGCTAGACCCTTCCCCCTGTGCTTATCTGCTACAAGTATGTGATACAGATAGACCCTTCACCCTGTGGTTATCTGCTACAAGTATGTGATACAGATAGACCCTTCACCCTGTGGTTATCTCCTACAAGTATGTGATACAGATAGACCCTTCACCCTGTGGTTATCTGCTACAAGTATGTCATAGAAAAACTTGGGTCAACAAATTAGGCGCTATGCATTTCCGAAGAGAGAGAGGGTCTACTCTTATTTCCTTTACATTTCCGGCCCAGCATTGCCAGGTGGTTAGGGCGCTTGACTTGCAATCTGAGGGTCGCGGGTTCGAATTCCCGTTCCACCAAACATGCTCGCCTTTTCAGTCGTGGGGGCGTTATAATGTGACGGACAATTCCATTGCTCGTTAGTAAAAGAGTAGCCCAAGAGTTAGCAGTGGGTGGTGATGACTAGCTACCTTCCCTCTAGTCTTACACTGCCAAATTAGGGACGGCTAGCGCAGATAGCCCTCGTGTAGCTTTGCGCGAAATTCATAACAAAGAAACAACGCCACAGTATAAATTACGGGTTCCTCATTATTAAAAAAATCGCTTGGCGATTTAGGGTTATACTAGCCTATTTATCGATCGTTTTATCCTCTGTGCCTTGTGGAGGTGGAAAAAAATTGTATATATATATATTCTATAGTTACGTTTAACTTTCAACTGTACCAATATTTGCATTAAATTTAAAATAGAATAATATATTTCATGGTATTAACAGCTAAGCAAGAAGAGGAGGGAGGATAATTTAATAACATGACAGTGTGTTGCTTCATAAAAACAGCCCTAAAATAATGTTTACGTTACAGGCAAGGCCATGTGATTGTTCGTGTAAACAAGCGTGTTCCTGGAGCTATTTTAGTCTCTTGAGGAAGAAGGTGAAAGAGGGGGGGGGGATATATCGATTCTTCACCGCTAGGGATATAGTGCACTGTTTCTGATGTATAGCGTGTGTATAAGGAGCAGCTGGCGGCCCCTAAAAACCAGGAGCTCGGGAGGCTCACTGGTTAAAAAGGCAGCGAGTGAAACGTATTTTGTTGTCGATAGAGATGTGACGCGGGGAATGGCGAAGCTTGAAATACCTACTGTAAGCCTATTGTACGTATATATATTCTAGTTTTGTTCCAGTTTTGAAACAGTTTGCTGAATTGAAGGACAGTAGTTAATAAGAAAAGCTAAAAACTGCATGCGTGGTTACTATACAGAATTAGTCAAGCTTGATGTTGATTTACTATACGTAGCACAACGCTAGCCATACAGTCTTCGGGTGATGGTAAATATTATGTTGTTATTAGCAGTAGTATTCTTATTGATATATTAGCTGAGGTACACGTTCGAAGCGCGGGGAAGACAGAAGAATGGGTCCAATCCGAACGTCAAATATCCTATGTCGCTTTCCGCGGAGCTTAAGGGCAAGGTTTAGTGACAACCGGTCCAGCGGTTCGCCGGTTATAAGTGCAAACAAAGACTTGTAACGGTGTGTATATTTTTAGTTTCACTACTGTTCTCCATACGTGACTAGAAAACGAGGTTCAAATGGAGGGAGAGTTATTTGCCTTGTTACGTTTCGTAAGCTGCTTTAATGATCAACTCTAATGTTATTGTGCTTTCTTCAAAGTAAATATAGAAACGGGATGATTGGCCAATCAAAACGTCTTATATAATTGTCTAGTCTGGATGATTGGCCAATCAAAACGTCTTATATAATTGTAGATAGCTTCGTAATCCTGGTTTCAACCAATGGTGAGGTGTTGACATTTTGAAATTCTTCTGACATGTAATTTCGCCAGCCCCCCTCACCCCAGTAACTCAGTAGTATGTCTGCGGACTTACAACGCTAGAAACCGGGTTTCGATGCACGTGGTAGGAATTGTAATTTGCTAGCTCCCCCCAGTAGCAGGGCGGTATGTCTGCAGACTTACGACGCTAGAAACCGGGTTTCGATACCCGCAGTGGGCAAAGCACAGATAGCCCATCGTGAAGCTTTGTGCTTGCTTAACTTCAAACAAACAAACAGACTTATAATTTGAAACTTTGAACTGATTTGTTTGGCTATTAAGTTGGACTGTTTTCTAAACACAATGGGCTATCTGTGCTCTGCCCACCACGGGTATAGAAATCCGATATTTTAGCGATATAAGTCTACAATCTTATCTGTGAGCCACCGCGGTGGGGGCCATATCTAATGCACTGGCGTAAAGCTAAAAACCAAAATATTGTTCGTTTGGGACATCATGGGAAATATTATGAAATACCCCCCTTAGAGTTTCATGCAGGGTATTTTTCGTTGTTTTTGTAGGTGGGGGGGGGTCTTATGCTCGTGAATGAGGGGCTTTGAAAATATTCTTAACCTTTTCATGCATAATTGAATAAAGTGAATTAACTTATAAAATGAATATCTAGTTATCGTAACTAATGTACATTGGAAAAATCCATGTGGTACCGTCATGCATGAGCAGGTTAATGTTCAGTCACTTCAGTGGTCTTCCTTTAAAGGGAAAAACCTGAGAATTTACATCTACACGCCATTATTCTCTTATGTAGCTCCATTTAAATTTCATTTTGCGTTGGACAGTTTCATATTTTATTTTGTTTTATTGTGGAGAGAATAAAAGTAAAGACGTCCATTTTCTTTTCCTTCTTTATCTTCATTCAAGCCGAATCCGTTCGAATTGTTTCTTTTTTTCAGAAATGAACATAGCTGTTTCACCGAGAAATCTAAAGCGAATTGTTTATATCTCAATAGCTTTCATTGTCTGTATGAGTAATGGTTTACGTTTCTAAGCTTGAACCACGTGGCCATCAAAAACTGAGCAGCAACCGTGAGAAGGCTGCATTTAGATAAGGAATATAACTATGGTACTGATAGCAATAAACGTCAGGGGGATAGTTTTAGATAATGGATATAACTGTTGTTTGTTGATAGCAATAAACGTCAGGGGGATAGTTTTAGATAATGGATATAACTGTTGTTTGTTGATAGTAATAAACGTCAGGGGGATAGTTTTAGATAATGGATATAACTGTTGTTTGTTGATAGTAATAAACGTCAGGGGGATAGTTTTAGATAATGGATATAACTGTTGTTTGTTGATAGTAATAAACGTCAGGGGATGCAGATTTTTTTTTTCTTACCAACTTCACAAAACTTGCATGGAGCATGGAGAATGAATCCGTGGAGTGCATTATCTAAACGAAACACAAGAGATTAAAAAACGTATATTTCGGAAGACTGATATTAAGGAAATTAAACTCTTAGCAAACGCTGCAGTTTACCTGTCTGTAACCGTCTAAGTCGGTAGTTCCCAAACTTTTTTTTTTTCTGGCGGAATCCTTTGTATAGAAATACCACATTCGTCGCGACCTCGCGTTTAAAAAAAAAAATCCGAGAAATTGTATTAATAATAGTAATAATAATTCTATATTAAACTTTTCACGACTACAATGGATGGGGATACAACAACACATCCAATTTTTATAATTTAGTAATTCAATTACGTTGGCTGGAAGATTTGGATGAAGAACTGGAGTAGTAACCCACACCATGTTTAACAGTTCCCGAATGGGAAGGTTAAGGACAAGCGGTTTTAAATAAGGTGACATGAAAATAACAATATTGTACACGACAATCTGTGGGTCGCGGGTTCGAATCCCCGTCACCTTTCAGCAGTAGGGGGCGTTATAATGCCTCGGTCAATCCCACTGTTAGCCCAAGAGTTGAGGGTGAGTGGCGTTGATTAGCTACCTTACCTCTAGTTATGTTCGTAGTTATGCACAAAGCTA